CTCCCCAAAACCCCAAAACCCCAAAACCCCGTGAATTTGGGCAAAATTGGAAAATAATTTATCCCTTCATTATGAAATTCCCATAGTTCTGCACAGTGGACAACTGCCCTGGGGAGGCTGCTTCATCAGTATCTTTCAAAACAGTCGGGGATTTCTCTATAACTTAGGGTAAAATACGTACTTCGATCCAGCTTGATTACCTGCCTGCTGCGAGATCCGCTTCGCCTTGCCTTCATTGGAGGAATGATTGACCGGGACGTATTCTCAATCTTAGGCTTAGGAACCTTTTTCTTAATGTTCTTCTTTTGAGGTTCTATTCGACAATCTTATCATGAAAATTACCCAAGGTTTTCAGCTTCTTTGCTGATTCTAGTGTAATATTAGCCTTGCTCATGCTGTAGGATATCTGAGGAAGTAGGGATCGCTTGTTTTGTAAGCGTCCTAGTTCAGGTGATATAGTCTGGATCGATATTGATCTTGCAGGGTTATGGTCGCTATATGAGTGTTTAGATTGAGGTATAGGTTTTAAACTTACTACAACTGGTCTAACTTGGTATTGAGTCCCATTTGAGATATTGCTGAATCACCAGAAGTTTCAAATTCGTTATTATTCAAGTTTCCTAAAATTAAAGGATGATATACTTACTTCTTAGCTGAGGCAAGGACTTACGGTGCCTATCCAGAGTATGAGAATCCTTATTTCTCTTGCACAAAGAATTAGTCTTAAGGCTCTCTCCAAGACAAGACAAGTCCTTCTTAAATTTTACGTATCTCATGCCTGATGGTTGGAACATAATTTTTCTACAATGTAAGTTAACAAGGTTTACTTAGAATCAACAAGTTTTAACTGGCTTTGCAATAACCTGTCTAGTCTATAATTCTAAGGGGTTTAGCCTACAACGCATCGTTTTCTTTGATACAATCTATGGTACCTTCTAATGTACAGTTTTCTGATGGAATACCAAGCGTGCTCTTGTTAGAACCGAGTTCAGGCAGTTTTGAAAGATTCAAACTTGATTCTTGAGAAGTAAAGGCTTTAGGATCACCTAAAATGTTAGCCACCATACAAAGATGATATGAAATCCTCTATTTACCTTCATAGTAGTAACTATGATTCTTATTCCGCCCTTCTTGTAAATTATGATTATTTTCTAAGGCTCTTCTTCCACTCAGGAGGATTGGAACGGCTAAAGATTATTTCAAAATTACCCATTTGTATTGACAACAATAGACCGTAGAGTATTATTTTCATTCATCATTTCCTTTATAATCGGATTTTTGTGAGGCTCTACTTTAATAACTGGTGGTACGAAGTTGTCAGAGGTCCTTAAGTTCGTTTGTGGTTTCCCTATATCAAGTTGCCTTTTTGTTCTCCTAATAATCCCAAATATTCAGATTTCTTTATCACCCTAACTCTACGGGCAGAATGCTTGGACCAATAGATATCTTTAATTTGATTAATTATTTTATGATTAAGCCATGAGCCAACATAAAAGCTTCCATTTTCTAAGAGATACAGTGGATTTAAATAAAATTTTAATGGTTGGGAGGGGTTGTCTCTCCTCAAAAACTGAAGATATTTACCCATCCCAGCAACGCCATCATTACAAACATGATAATATTCAGGCATATTAACGATTGATCAACTATTTTGAGAGTATGTTTGACATCACCTTCTTTATTCAACTTCTGGATTATCTTTCTGACTTTGTAATCAAAGTTAAGCAAAAATCTATATGTATAATTCTTTGATTCACAAAAATCCCACTCAGAAAGTGGCCTACTTACCCTGGCACTTGAGACTGCTTGACATTTTATTTTATAATAAATTCACTAAACTTTATTGTTCAGTTCTTTATGGCCGAAAGGGGTTTTGGGGTTTTGGGGTTTTGGGGTTTTGGGG